TAGCAAACTCAACACCCAAAGAACAAATAATCCAATCAAGAATGGGCAGAGGACATGAACAAACCTTTCTGCAAAGAAGACATCCAGATGGCCAACAGACACATGAAAAAGTGCTCCACATCACTCGGCATCAGGGAAATACAAATCAAAACCACAATGAGATATCACCTCACACCAGTCAGAATGGCTAAAATTAACAAGTCAGGAAATGACAGATGCTGGCGAGGATGCGGAGAAAGGGGAACCCTCCTACACTGTTGGTGGGAATGCAAGCTGGTGCAACCACTCTGGAAAACAGCATGGAGGTTCCTCAAAATGTTGAAAATAGAGCTACCCTATGACCCAGCAATTGCACTACTGGGTATTTACCCTAAAGATACAACATAGTGATCCGAAGGGGCATGTGCACCCGAATGTTTATAGCAGCAATGTCTACAATAGCCAAACTATGGAAAGAACCTAGATGTCCATCAACAGACGAATGGATAAAGAAGATGTGGTATATATACACAATGGAATACTAAGCAGCCATCAAAAGAAATGAAATCTTGCCATTTGCGACGGCATGGATGGAACTAGAGGGTATCATGCTTAGAAAGACATCTAGAAAGACAACTATCATATGATCTCCCTGATATGAGGAAGTGGAGATGCAACATGGGGGGTTAAGGGGGTAGGAGAAGAATAAATGAAACAAGATGGGATTGGGAGGGAGACAAACCATAAGTGACTCGTAATCTCACAAAACAAACTGAGGGTTGCTGGGGGGAGGGGGTTGGGAGAGGGGGGTGGGGTTATGGACATTGGGGAGGGTATGTGCTATGGTGAGTGCTGTGAAGTGTGTAAACCTGGCAATTCACAGACCTGTACCCCTGGGGATAAAAATATATTATATGTTTATAAAAAATAAAAATTAAAAAAATAAAATAAAATTGTTACATGTAAAAAAAAAAAACAAGCAGACCAAGTACAACTAGGATCTAGTTTCCTCACCCCCACTTCCCCCGCCTCTGGACAAAATGACAAGATGGGAGAATTTACTGCAAAAGAGAACAGGAAGTAGAAGTAAACGCCAGGGATTTACTCAACACAAATGAGATTTCTCAAATACAATTTAAAACAGTCATAAGGATATTAGCTGGGTTTAAAAAAAAAGTGTAAAAGACACTAGAGAATTCCTTACCACAGAGATAAAAGAATTAAAATCTAATCAGGCCAGAATTAAAAATGCTACTACCAGATGCAAACCTGAATAGATGCCATGACAATGAGGATGGACAATAGAGAAACAAATTGGTAATGTAGAAGATAATATGGAAACTAATGAAGCTGAAAAGAGGGAAAGAAAGGTATTGGATCATAAATGTATACTTAGGGAACTCAGTGACTCCTTAAAGTGTAATAACATTTGAATGATAGGAGTCCCAGAAGATGAAGAGTGAAAAAAGAGCAGAAGTTTTATTTGTGCAAATTATAGCTGAAAAGCTCTCTAATCTGGGGAAGGACATAAACATAAAAATCCAAGAAGCAGAGAGAACTCCCATTAAATTCAATAAAAACCAGTCATTGCCAAGATATATTATAATCAAATTCACAAAGTACACAAACAAGAAAAGAATCCTGAAAGCAGCAAGGGAAGAAAAAGTCCTTAACATACAAGGTAAGATGGATCAAGTTTGAAACAGGTCCATCCACAGAAACTTGGCAGGCCAGAAGTGAATGGCAGGATATATTCAATGTACTGAATGGGGAAAATATGCAGATAAGAATATTTTATCCAGCAAGGCTGTCATTTGGAATAGGAGGGCTAAAGTTTTCCAGACAAATAAAAACCAAAGGAGTTCATGACCCCTTAAACAACCCTGCAAGAAATATTAAAGGGAACTCTTTAGGTGGGGAAAAATACCAAAACAACAAAGACTAGAAAGGAACAGAGAATATCACCAGAAACACCAACTTTATGGGTAATACAATGGCAATAAACTCCTCTTTTAATAATCATTCTGAATGTAAATAGGTTAAATGTTCTAATCAAATTCATACAGCATCAGAATGGATAAAAAATAAGACCCATCTATATGCTGCCTACAAAAGATTCATTTTAAACCTAAAGACACCTGCATATTTTAAGTTAGGGGATTGAGAGCCATCTATCATATTAATGGATGTCAAAAGAAAGCTAATGCAGCCATACTTATACCAGAAAAACTAGATTTTAAAACAAAGACTGTAACAGGAGATGAAGAAGGGTATTATATCATAATTAAGGGGTCTATCCATCAGGAAGATCTAACAACTATAAATATTTATGCCCCCAACTTGGGAGGGCCCAAATATATAAATCAATTAATAATAAGCCTAAGGAAACTCCTTGATAATAATACAATAATAGAGGGGACTTTAACATCCTACTTACAGCAATAGACAGATCATCTAAGCAGAAAATCAATAAGGAATGTCTTTGAATGACATACTGGACCAGATGGACTTAACAGATATATTCAGAACATTTCATCCTAAAGCAGCAGAATACACTATTTTTGAGTACAAATGGAACATTCTCCAGAATAGATAACATACTGGTTCACAAATCAGCCCTCAACAAGTGCAAAAATACCATGCATTTTTTCAGACCAAAATGCTATGAAACTTGAAGTCAACCACAAAAAAATTTTTGGAAAGACCACAAAAACATGGTGATTAAAGAACATCCTACTAAAGAATGAATGGGTGATCAGGAAATTAAAGGAGAAATAAAAAAGCACATGGAAGCAAATGAAAATAAAACACAACAATCCAAAAGCTTTGGGATGCAATAGACAGTTCTCAGAGGGAAGTATACAGGTCTATCTCAAGAAGCAAAAAAAAAAAAAAAGTCTCAAACACACAGCCTAATCTTATACCTAAAAGATCTAGAAAAGAAATAGCAAGTAAAACCTAAAGCCAGCAACAGAAAGGAAATGATAAAGATTAGAGCAGAAATAAATGATATAGAAACAAACAGAACAGATCAACAAAACAGGGAGTTGGTTCTTTGACAGAAATAATAAAATTGATAAACCCCTAGCCAGATTTTTCAAAAAGAAAAGAGAAACACCCAAATAAACAAATCATGAATGAAAGAGTAGATATCACCACCGACACCACAGAAATACAAATAATCATAAGAGAATATTATGATAAATTATATGCCAACAAACCAGGCAATCTGGAAGAAATGGATAAATTTCTAGAAACATACAAACAAAGGGAGGTGGGTAGAGGGATGGAGTAACTGGGTGATGGGTATTAAGGAGGACATATGATGTGATGAGCACTGGGTGTTATATGAAACTGATGAATCTTTGAACACTACACCAAAAATTGATGATGTACTATATATTGTCTAATTGAATTTAAATTGAAAAAATAAGTAAAATACAGTTCTAAAATGCTAAATGATGTTAATTTAGAGAGGTGGGTTATGGGAAAGAATATGTTAATGATTTTGCTTTCTTGAGGAAGGAGATTCTATTGCACTCTAGGCATTAATACAAAATATAACGTTAACATGTATTAAAAATCTAAGAGTAAGAGGGCTCCCCTTTCTCCACATCCTCTCCAACACATGTAGTTTCCTGTCTTGTTAATTTTGGCCATTCTAACTGGTGTAAGGTGGTATCTCAATGTGGTTTTAATTTGAATCTCCCTGATGGCTAGTGATGATGAACATTTTTTCATGTGTCTGATAGCCATTTGTATGTCTTCATTGGAGAAGTGTCTGTTCATATCTTCTGCCCATTTTTTGACATGATTATCTGTTTTGTGTGTGTTGAGTTTGAGGAGTTCTTTATAGATCCTGGATATCAACCTTTTGTCTGTACTGTCATTTGCAAATATCTTCTCCCATTCCGTGGGTTGCCTCTTTGTTTTGTTGACTGTTTCCTTTGCTGTGCAGAAGCTTTTGATCTTGATGAAGTCCCAAAAATTCATCTTCGCTTTTGTTTCCTTTGTCTTTGGAGACATATCTTTTTTTTTTTTTTGCAATTATCATACTTATGTATGTATTTTTAAAAATATATATAGCAAAGGAAAAATAAAATAAAAGTATATAAGCAACCCCACAGAAGTATTTGGGAAAAATTTAAGGAATTACATTCAAATGTTAATCTCTTAGGGTTTAGGATTATACATGACTTTTAAAATCTGTTATGGCTCACTGAAATTTCTAAACATATTATATTAATTCAATACAAATTTATCAAATATATGCTATATTCTTTGTTTATATGAGCATTATTAGAAAAAAAATGCATCCTCTGGGAAGTTTTCTTCTATTCCCTCAATTTCCATTCTCAGATGCCCAGGACTTCTACCCTGTTTTGTTTTTTGTTTTGTTTTGTTTTGTTTTTTGTTTTTTGTTTTTTTAGATGTTAACACTGACTTTACTTTTTTTTTTTTTTTCAGCATAACAGGATTCCTTGTTTTTGCACCACACCCAGTGCTCCATGCAATCCGTGCCCTCTCTAATACCCACCACCTGGTTCCCCCAACCTCCCACCCCCTACCTCTTCAAACCCCTCAGATTGTTTGGAGACATATCTTGAAAGAAGTTGCTGTGGCTGATATCGAAGAGGTTACTGCCTATGCTCTCCTCTAGGATTCTGATGGATTCCTGTCTCACGTTGAGGTCTTTTATCCATTTTGAGTTTATCTTTGTGTACAGTGTAAGAGAATGGTCGAGTTTCATTCTTCTACATACAGCTGTCCAGTTTTCCCAGCACCATTTATTGAAGAGACTGTCTTTTTTCCACAGTATATTTTTTCCTGTTTTGTCGAAGATTATTTGACCGTAGAGTTGAGGGTCCATATCTGGGCTCTCTACTCTATTCCACTGGTCTATGTGTCTGTTTTTATGCCAGTACCATGCTGTCTTGGTGATCACAGCTTTGTAGTAAAGCTTGAAATCAGGTAACGTGATGCCCCCAGTTTTATTTTATTTTATTTTATTTTATTTTTTGGCTGGATACAGTATACTTTATTGATGGTACATGACAAGGTAGGGCTCCCCAAGCCCCTCCCCTTCTTTAGGGAGTCTGGGATGGAAATAGTGGAGGTTGGGAGATTCTCAATGTTTTGGGGGGTAAGTTAGGGCAGGGATTCCCAGCAGCTGAGGGCCTCTCTCTTCCTCTTGCTCTGGCTGGGGCTGGTGGTTCAGGGGGCTCTTACTCCTTGGAGGCCTTGTGGACCATACGGTCCACCACCCGGTTGCTGTAGCCAAATTCATTGTCATACCAGGAAATGAGCTTGACAAAGTGGTCATTGAGAGCAATGCCAGCCCCAGCATCGAAGGTAGAGGAGTGGGTGTCACTGTTGAAGTCGCAGGGGACAACCTGGTCCTCAGTGTACCCCAGGATGCCCTTAAGGGGGCCCTCTGATGCCTGCTTCACCACCTTCTTGATGTCATCATATTTGGCAGCTT